GGCTGCCCCCTCCTCCCAACCCTCCTGTCCTGGAGCAGGAGCTGGGCAGAAGCTCTGTGGTGACGACCCCTCGTCCCCTCCCCTCTGTCCCTCCCCCTGATGGCGTGGGGAGGGTGGGGGTGGCCCTGGGGGAGCTCAGCTGCCTCCCAGGCCTTGCTGCACTTGTGCCCTGTGGCTTCAGTCCCAGGCCCTTGCTCGGGTTCCCTCCTGCTCTGTCCCGAGGCTGCTGGAAGATCTGGGGGCTGGGGCTCCTCTGACTTTGTTGCTGTGTCCTTGGCTGCAGGGCAGAGCTGACTCATGAGTGTCAAAGCCACACCATCAGTATTAATTCACTGTGTTTGAATAAAAGTTATTAGAAAATCAAAGGGCCTCAGAAGGAGTCCATTATCTCTGCCAGCAGCTGTTCCCCTTCTCAGCCCTGTCCTCCTCCCAGCTCTGGAATAAAAAGATGCCTTAAGAGAGGGATTACTGACAGCAGCTCTGTGCTTGCTGCAGGAGCAGCTCCCACCCCTGCCAGGGACTATTTTTAAGGGCTGTTTGCTGAAGGATGGGAGGGTTTGTGATACTGAGATAGACTCATAGAATGGGTTTGGTTGGAAAAATCCTCTGAGCTCCTGGAGTCCCAGCACGGGCAGGTCCCCCCTGCACCGTGTCACTCACCCCACATCTCCACAGCTTGGGAACCCCTCCAGGGGTGGGGACTCCACCACTGCCCTGGGCAGCCTGGCACAGCCCTGGGCAACCCTCCAGGGCAAGAAATTGTTCCTCAGGGGCAACTGAAACCTCCCCTGGGGAAATCTGAGGCCATTCAACCTGCTGGGCAGGGGAGTTAGGCCAGGCTAATAAAAGTTTATAAAGCTGTGGTGCTGCTGTTTGGTGAGGTGGGGGCTGCACTTGCTGACCCCAGTAATGGGGGGGTGGGTGCAGGATCCCACAGAGTCCCGTGTGGTGGGTGTTGGACAGGATGACCTCGTTGGCTGGGTTCTTGTTTAGGTTTTTAGGGAAGCTGGAGCATGGTTCCATCTGGCACCACAGCTGGAGCCGTTCCCAGGGCCTGTCCCTGGGGGAGCTGGATGGGATGGGGGGGAGGGACCCTCCCAAAGGAGAGGGGTGGGTGGTGTGTCGTGGGGAACACCGTGGTGGTACGAAGGGGTCGGTGCTGCCAACGTGTCTGCCCCACTGTTAAGGCCTCCACAAAGATTTAATGTGGGATTTGAGTCTGCCAAGGAAAGAAAAGGAACCAGCCCCTTGCACCGAGGTGGCACCGAGTTTACTGGACTTTTCCTGGGCCTT